CAATAGATTCTACCTTCTTGTAACGTTTCAGCCTGATTGGACCTTGTTTTCACACAAATGGACCCAGAATGATGTGAAATTGTGCTTCGTGCAACATAATTCTGGGTACCATTTAAAAACCATAAGTGCTAATGACTTCAATCCTTTTTGAGGTTGTAGGGGCTGTTGATTGGAGTACACTAAAACAAACCTGATCTCTCTAGGACATTCAGAAGCCAAGTTATAAGCCCACAAATGTGTAACTGGACTACGTCTTTAAAGTTACACCAGTTCCGGTGACCTTTGGGACATGGTTTTACCACCTATAGGAATGTGCGATCATCATGAAACGTTCAGATCACTTACAACTCAATAGATTCTACCGTCTTGCACGTTTCAGCCTGATTGGACCTTGTTTTCACACAAATGAACCCAGAATGATGTGAAATTGTGCTTCGTGCAACATAATTCTGGGTGCCATTTAAAAACCATAAGTGCTAATGACTCCATTCCTTTTAGTGATAATGGGGGCTGTGGATTGGAGTACTCTAAAACAAACCTGACCTCTCTAGGACATTCAGAAGCCAAGTTATAAGCCCACAAAGGTGTAACTGGACTACTTCTTTAAAGTGACACCAGGCCCGGTGACCTTTGGGACATGGTTTTACCCCCTATAGGAATGTGCTATCATCATGAAACGTTCAGATCACTTACAACTCAATAGATTCTACCTTCTTGTAACGTTTCAGCCTGATTGGACCTTGTTTTCACACAAATGAACCCAGAATGATGTGAAATTGTGCTTCATGCAACATAATTCTGGGTGCCATTTAAAAACCATAAGTGCTAATGACTCCATTCCTTTTTGTGGTTGTAGGGGCTGTTAATTGGAGTATATTAAAACAAACCTGATCTCTCTAGGACATTCAGAAGCTAAGTTATAAGCCCACAAATGTGTAACTGGACTACTTCTTTAAGTTACCAGATCCGGTGACCTTTGGGACATGGTTTGACCCCCTTAGGAAAATGCTATCATCATGAAACGTTCAGATCACTTACAACTCAATAGATTCTACCTTCCTGTAACGTTTCAGCCTGATTGGACCTTGTTTTCACACAAATGGACCCAGAATGATGTGAAATTGTGCTTCGTGCAACATAATTCTGGGTGCCATTTACAAACCATAAGTGCTAATGACTCCATTCCTTTTTGTGGTTCTAGGGGCTGTTGATTGGAGTACACCAAAACAAACCTGACCTCTCTAGGACATTCAGAAGAAACATTATAAGCCCACAAAGGTGTAACTGGACTACTTCTTTAAAGTGACACCAGGCCCGGTGACCTTTGGGACATGGTTTGACCCCCTATAGGAATGTGGGATCATCATGAAACGTTCAGATCACTTACAACTAAATAGATTCTACCTTCCTGTAACGTTTCAGCCTGATTGGACCTTGTTTTCACACAAATGGACCCAGAATGATGTGAAATTGTGCTTCGTGCAACATACTTCTGGGTGCCATTTACAAACCATAAGTGCTAATGACTCCATTCCTTTTTGTGGTTGTAGGGGCTGTTGATTGGAGTACACTAAAACAAACCTGACCTCTCTAGGACATTCAGAAGAAATGTTATAAGCCCACAAAGGTGTAACTGGACTACTTCTTTGAAGTGACACCAGGCCCGGTGACCTTTGGGACATGGTTTGACCCCCTATAGGAATGTGGTATCATAATTAAACACAGGAAACATTTACAACTCAATAGATTCTACTTTTCTGTGACGTTTCAGCCTGATTGGACCTTGTTTTCACACAAATGGACCCAGAATGATGTGAAATTGTCCTTCGTGCAACATAATTCTGGGTGCCATTTAAAAACCATAAGTGCTAATGACTCCATTCCTTTTAGTGGTAATGGGGGCTGTGGATTGGAGTACTCTAAAACAAACCTGACCTCTCTAGGACATTCAGAAGCCAAGTTATAAGCCCACAACGTTGTAACTGGACTACTTCTTTAAAGTGACACCAGGCCCGGTGACCTTTGGGACATGGTTTGACCCCCTATAGGAATGTGCGATCATCATGAAACGTTCAGATCACTTACAACTCAATAGATTCTACCTTCTTGTAACGTTTCAGCCTGATTGGACCTTGTTTTCACACAAATGGACCCAGAATGATGTGAAATTGTGCTTCGTGCAACATAATTCTGGGTGCCATTTAAAAACCATAAGTGCTAATGACTCCAATCCTTTTTGAGGTTGTAGGGGCTGTTGATTGGAGTACACTAAAACAAACCTGATCTCTCTAGGACATTCAGAAGCCAAGTTATAAGCCCACAAATGTGTAACTGGACTACTTCTTTAAAGTGACACCAGTTCCGGTGACCTTTGGGACATGGTTTTACTCCCATAGGAATGTGCGATCATCATGAAACGTTCAGATCACTTACAACTCAATAGATTCTACCTTCTTGCACGTTTCAGCCTGATTGGACCTTGTTTTCACACAAATGAACCCAGAATGATGTGAAATTGTGCTTCGTGCAACATAATTCTGGGTGCCATTTAAAAACCATAAGTGCTAATGACTCCATTCCTTTTAGTGGTAATGGGGGCTGTGGATTGGAGTACTCTAAAACAAACCTGACCTCTCTAGCACATTCAGAAGCCAAGTTATAAGCCCACAAAGGTGTAACTGGACTACTTCTTTAAAGTGACACCAGGCCCGGTGACCTTTGGGACATGGTTTTACCCCCTATAGGAATGTGCGATCATCGTGAAACGTTCAGATCACTTACAACTCAATAGATTCTACCTTCTTGTAACGTTTCAGCCTGATTGGACCTTGTTTTCACACAAATGGACCCAGAATGATGTGAAATTGTGCTTCGTGCAACATAATTCTGGGTGCCATTTATAAACCATAAGTGCTAATGACTCCATTCCTTTTTGTGGTTGGAGGGGCTGTTGGTTGGAGTAAATTAAAACAAACCTGATCTCTCTAGGACATTCAGAAGCCAAGTTATAAGCCCACAAATGTGTAACTGGACTACTTCTTTAAATTGACACCAGATCCGGTGACCTTTGGGACATGGTTTGACCCCCTTAGGAAAGTGCTATCATTAGGAAACGTTCAGATCACTTACAACTCAATAGATTCTACCTTCCTGTAACGTTTCAGCCTGATTGGACCTTGTTTTCACACAAATGAACCCAGAATGATGTGAAATTGTGCTTCGTGCAACATAATTCTGGGTGCCATTTAAAAACCATAAGTGCTAATGACTCCATTCCTTTTTGTGGTTGTAGGGGCTGTTGATTGGAGTATACTAAAACAAACCTGATCGCTCTAGGACATTCAGAAGCCAAGTTATAAGCCCACAAATGTGTAACTGGACTACTTCTTTATGTTGACACCAGGCCCGGTGACCTTTGGGACATGGTTTGACCCCCTTAGGAAAATGCTATCATCATGAAACGTTCAGATCACTTACAACTCAATAGATTCTACCTTCCTGTAACGTTTCAGCCTGATTGGACCTTGTTTTCACACAAATGGACCCAGAATGATGTGAAATTGTGCTTCGTGCAACATAATTCTGGGTGCCATTTACAAACCATAAGTGCTAATGACTCCATTCCTTTTAGTGGTAATGGGGGCTGTGGATTGGAGTACTCTAAAACAAACCTGACCTCTCTAGGACATTCAGAAGCCAAGTTATAAGCCCACAAAGGTGTAGCTGGACTACTTCTTTAAAGTGTCACCAGGCCCGGTGACCTTTGGGACATGGTTTGACCCCCTATAGGAATGTGCGATCATCATGAAACGTTCAGATCACTTACAACTCAATAGATTCTACCTTCTTGTAACGTTTCAGCCTGATTGGACCTTGTTTTCACACAAATGGACCCAGAAAGATGTGAAATTGTGCTTCGTGCAACATAACTCTGGGTGCCATTTAAAAACCATAAGTGCTAATGACTCCATTCCTTTTTGTCGTTGTAGGGGCTGTTGGTTGGAGTACATTAAAAACAAACCTGATCTATCTAGGACATTCAGAAGCCAAGTTATAAGCCCACAAATGTGTAACTGGACTACTTCTTTAAAGTGACACCAGGCCCGGTGACCTTTGGGACATGGTTTGACCCCCTATAGGAATGTGCGATCATCATGAGACGTTCAGATAACTTACAACTCAATAGATTCTACCTTCTTGTAACGTTTCAGCCTGATTGGACCTTGTTTTCACACAAATGGACCCAGAATGATGTGAAATTGTGCTTTGTGCAACATAATTCTGGGTGCCATTTACAAACCATAAGTGCTAATGACTCCATTCCTATTTGTGGTTGTAGGGGCTGTTGAATGGAGTACACTAAAACAAACCTGACCTCTCTAGGACATTCAAAAGCCAAGTTATAAGCCCACAAATGTGTAACTGGACTACTTTAAAGTGACACCAGGCCCGGTGACCTTTGGGACATGGTTTGACCCCCTATAGGAATGTGCGATCATCATGAAACGTTCAGATCACTTACAACTCAATAGATTCTACCTTCTTGTAATGTTTCAGCCTGATTGGACCTTGTTTTCACACAAATGGACCCAGAATGATGTGAAATTGTGCTTCGTGCAACATAATTCTGGGTGCCATTTAAAAACCATAAGTGCTAATGACTCCATTCCTTTTAGTGGTAATGGGGGCTGTGGATTGGAGTACTCTAAAACAAACCTGACCTCTCTAGGACATTCAGAAGAAACGTTATAAGCCCACAAAGGTGTAACTGTACTACTTCTTTAAAGTGACACCAGGCCCGGTGACCTTTGGGACATGGTTTGACCCGCTATAGGAATGTGCGATCATCATGAAATGTTCAGATCACTTAAACTCAATAGATTCTACCTTCTTGTAACGTTTCAGCCTGATTGGACCTTGTTTTCACACAAATGGACCCAGAATGATGTGAAATTGTGCTTCGTGCAACATAATTCTGGGTGCCATTTACAAACCATAAGTGCTAATGACTCCATTCCTTTTTGTGGTTGTAGGGGCTGTTGATTGGAGTACACTAAAACAAACCTGATTTCTCTAGGACATTCAGAAGCCATGTTATAAGCCCACAAATGTGTAACTGGACTACTTCTTTAAATTGACACCAGATCTGGTGACCTTTGGGACATGGTTTGACCCCCTTAGGAAAGTGCTATCATCATGAAACGTTCAGATCACTTACAACTCAATAGATTCTACCTTCCTGTAATCTTTCAGCCTGATTGGACCTTGTTTTCACACAAATGAACTCAGAATGATGTGAAATTGTGCTTCGTGCAACATAATTCTGGGTGACATTTAAAAACCATAAGTGCTAATGACTCCATTCCTTTTTGGGGTAAGGGGGCTGTTAATTGGAGTACTCTAAAACAAACCTGACCTCTCTAGGATTGTACTGAATGTTTGCACTGATTGCCGATCACGCTTCAACTGAGTTGTCCTCGGTCAGAAGGATTGGCACTCCACAGTGATGTAGTCCAAGTAGTTTTATTAAAGAGGTAGCAGATGACATCAACAAGTGAGGCAATTGCATTCCCATCTATGAATGCAGGTAAAGGGAGTGTGAGTGTGCAGGAGTATGTGGGTGTGGTAATCTGTTAACAGAAAGAACAACCATTAGTATGAATAGCAATGTACCGCTTATACAGCACTGTGGGTTTCCAACATGAAGTTATATGATCTGCTATAAACCTCATGGCCACTAGATGCCACCCTAAGACCATACATGAATTTCTTGTTGGTATATGCATTAGCAAACAGTATCTCTACAGGTCAGATAATAAACACAGAAAATAGTTCTATCCACCTCCAACCACCATACTTGATAGTGAGTTGTATATGGAATGCCATATAAGCTGCAACCAAGGCTGCCTGAAGTAGGCCAACAAAACCTGCAACTTAGCAACAGGACTAGCTTCTTAGTGATGTACACAGAGCAACTCACAGATAAAGTCAAATAAGCATCAATCTCATCTTATAATACTCACATGATAAACACGCACACCAAGGGTAACTCACACAGGAACGCACGAGAAAAACGCTGATCATCCAACACCTTTCAGCTGTGCTGAACTGCGCTAAACACGTTCCCAACGGGAAGTACAGATACCGAGGTGCATCATGGGTAATGTAGTCTAAACTGTGTTCACAAACATTATTCCTCTGGAAAGCGGACTTTTAACAGCCGCCCCTGTATTTGTATGGATACAAATACACACATGCTAAAGTCAAGCTATTGCGGAACAGTATCATCTAAGTCCTCAGGGACTTTGGGGAGTCCCACTAGCTTAGTCACCGGGCGAACATAGAGACTGTCTTTAACCTTGACTTCGGCAGCCCGAACAACACCATCAGTCCCTGGGAAAACTTGGGAAATGGTACCCACAGGCCAGAGGCCTCTAGGCAGATTAGAGTCTACAATCATAACAGCTTGTCCCACGGTCATGTTGTCAGTGGACTTCCTCCATTTCTGTCGGAGTTGCAGTCCTGGGAGGTAGTTCTGTATGAACCGCTTCCAGAAGTGGTCACTGATGACCTGGCTGTGTATCCATCTTCTGGTCGAAAGAGTGCCTGAGGGGCCATAGACTGCCTGGGGTAGTGCTGAATCACGCCGCCCCATCAAGAGAAGATTTGGTGTGATGGGATCTGGGTCGGCTATGTCAGCCGATGCATAGCCAAGCGGTTTTGAGTTCAAAATGCCCTCAACCTCTATGAGAGCTGTGAGTAGGACTTCTTCTGCCACAACTTGGTCCTTCAGGACTACTTGCAGAGCTGACTTCACTGCTCTGATTTCCCTTTCCCAGGCTCCTCCGAAATGAGGCGAGTGTGGGGGATTGAAGCAGAAGTGGATAGCCTGCGTGGCTAGTTGCTGCTTGAGGTCAGGCTCCATGTTTTCAAATGCTGCTTGGAGTTCTCTATGACCACCTCTGAAATTGGTTCCTTGATCAGACCACATCTCGTATGGCTTTCCTCTGCGTGCGATAAATCTGCGTAATGACATAAGGAAGGAATCAGTGTCAAGACTAGGGAGGAGATCGAGATGCACACATCTAGTTGTAAGACACCTGTAGATAATTCCCCAGCGTTTCTCTCTTCTACGACCTATCTTTATCGTGTATGGCCCGAAACAGTCTACGCCCGTTGACCAGAACGGGGGTTTATAGAGTCTCATCCGTGAGGAAGGTAAATCAGCCATCTTGGGTGTAGAAGGTGTGGCGCGCCATCTCCTACAGTCCACACACTGGTGCTGGTGTTTCTTAATGGCTTGACGTCCTCTGAGAATCCAATAGGTGCGCCTTATCTCCGCAAATAGCCTCTCTGCACCTGGGTGAAGGAGCTGGTCATCATAAGTCCTTATGATGAGCTTGGTCAGGGGATGTTCAGCTGCTAGTACGATGGGATGAATACTGTCTGGATCTAAGTCTGCGGCTTGACGAAGGCGGCCTCCGACTCTGATGAGACCAGTAAGACTGTCATATTCAGGGGACAGCGTGCTAAGACGGCTGTCTGAGCGGACTGGGCGACTGGTCTGGAGGGCTTTGGTCTCCTCTGTGAAGCTGTCGGTCTGAGCTGAGCGGAGCAGCATGGTCTTGGTTTCCAGTCGCTCCGCGGCTGTAATAGGAGTGTCGGCCGCCCCGTGTAGGGTCCGGTACGTAGCAGCAATCAGCTTATCTAGTGAGGCATACTGCATTGGATCCGGCAAGGTTGGGGATACAGAAGCGTGCCCACAGAATGCAGTCCTCCTGAGCTCTGCTTCATTGCAGGCTGGAAACTCTGTTGGCAGCTTAGGCCAAGTGTCAGCGGCTTGTAATAGGAAAGGTGGACCATGTGACCAACGATTGGGGGCTGTTAGGTCAGCGAGATGTTTCCCTCTGGTGATGTCATCAGCAGGATTGAGCTCAGAGGTCACATATCGCCACTGTTCAGGAGATGTCAGCTCCTGTATTTCACAGATTCGAGTCCCCACAAATACCTTATAGCGACAGGAGCTAGATTGGATCCACTGCAGCACCGTGGTAGAGTCTGTCCACAGGTAAATCGACTGTATGGGAACAGTAAGCTCTGTCTGGAGTAATCTGGCCAATTGGGCTCCTGTGAGTGCTGCGCAAAGCTCCAACCGGGGCATTGACACCTGCTTGCGTGGGGCCACTCTGGAGCGAGCCATCAGGAATGATGTGATGATGGGCCGTTGCCGCTCAATTACCCTGAGATAAGCCACAGCCCCATAAGCCTTTTCCGATGCGTCACAGAATACGTGAGCTTCATATGTCACATTGCTGGAGTTATGAGGAGGAGCGTAGCAGTGGGGAATGATGACATGCTGAAGGTGTGACAGTTCGCCTTCCCACTCAAGCCAGGACTGAAGTAGATTCCCTTCGATGGGCTCATCCCACCCTCTTTCTGTGCTCCACAGGGCCTGTACAATCAGCTTGGCCCTTGTAGTGTAGGGACAAATATACCCTAGTGGGTCATACTGGGTAGCTAGTACCTTGTACACATTGCGCAGCGTGACCGTGGAGTAGGTGATAGGGCGGTGCTTATATCCCAGGACATCTGTCGGACAGTGCCAGCTAAGTCCTAACGTTGACTCTTGTGAGTCGAGACCTTTGAAGTTCAGCCAAAGTTCACAGCTCTCTGATCAAGCTGAAGCGGGCAGATGAGCAACTACTTCGGGCATGTTGCTCGCCCACTGTCGTATATCAAATCCTCCCTGAATGAGTAAATCTCTCATCCGGTCGATGAGCTGTTTTGCCTCTTCTGGGTTGAACAGGGACTGTAAACAATTATCCACGTAGAAGGCTGTGTGGACTGAGTCACAGATGTCTTTGTGGGTTTCTTTGTGCTCCCTCGCATGTCTCTGTAGGGCGAACGTAGCACAGCAGGGGCTACATGTCGTTCCGAAGGGCAAAACTCTCCACTCATATATGTCTGGGGGCCGATCCGTTTCACAATCCCTCCACAGAAACCGTAGCAGGGGACAATCCTCTGGGAGCAGCCGAACCTGATGAAACATGGCTTTGATATCTCCACTCACGGCTACAGGATGTTGACGGAAGCGGAGTAATACCCCCAGCAGAGTGGGTCCCATGGGAGGTCCTGGTAAGAGGCAGCGGTTCAGGACGGACCCCTGAAACTCAAACGAACAGTTGAAGACCACTCTAGCCTTATTGTTGTGATGTACTATGTGGTGCGGTACATACCATGACTCAGAAGAGCTATGTGTCTCATCTGGGCTCAGCTTAGCAACATAGCCAGACTCTACTAACCTGTGGATCTCCTGGTTGTATGTATGGGTCAGATCAGGGTTCTTGGCCAGCTTACGTTCAGTAGATCTGAGGAGGCCCTTTACTGCTTCAGGGGAGACACACAGACGTGGAAAGTCTCTTCTTCTCAGTAGAGGAGTGGCATATCTCTCGACACCATCTACTGGGACTCTGAGGGTCTTTGTTTCCAACGTAGCCACTGCCTCTCTGTCCTCCTTTGACCGTGTGACCTCCTTCTCTGTCCTACAGGGGGGAACATCTAGTTGCCACAAACGCTTCACATCTTGATGCAGGGCCTCTGCAGGAGAAAGACACATGTTCAGGCACTGCAGCTCCCCCTCAGATGTAGGCATACTACTGGCTGGCCCCTGGATGGCCCATCCGAGCTTGGTGCAGACGGCTACTGGCCCTTTAGATGACCCCCTAAGGACAGGACGGACAGGGGTGATGAGATGAGCATTATCTGAGCCAAGTAGCACCAAAGGTTGGACCTGGTTAAATCCTTTGATCTGGACTTTCTGCAAGTGAAGATACTTCTTCTTCAGCTGTTCAGCTGGACATGACTGAGTAGCTAGACTCAGCTGGTCGGCTGTGAATGCATGTGTTACTTTGTACCTCACTTTGGGCTTAGCTCTCGGTGACACCTGAAATGAGACAAAGCCTCCCTTCATCTGGATTACATCTCGACGGATAGTTCGCAGTGCGAGTGTTGCTTCCTCCTGCTCCAAACCTAGAGATTCAACTGCCGCAGGAAGCACAACAGTCTTTTCTGAGCCGTCATCAAGCACAGCAAATGTGTCCAGAGATTTGCCACCATGATGTAGTTGAATTGGTACTACTTTAAGCATGACTCGACCTGAGTGACTTGAATAGTCTAGGTAAACCATACTAGTACTCACAGTTAGTATGTTAGGGTCCCGCTTCTTGGCCTCAACCAGGTCATGGAGCACAGACAAATGCTGGTCACCACAGGTGCTGCACGGCTTCTTTAGAGTACACTGCTCTGGAGAATGTTTACGGCCACAGCGCCAGCATTTGGCCTTCTCAGTAATCCAGGTAGCCATAGCTTTGAGGTCTAGCCCTTTAAATCCATCACAGCCATTCAGATAATGCTCTGTCCCTTCACAGTATGGACAATAAGGTTTGAACTTCTGTCTCTTCTTAGGTTGGACTGTCGGATTGGGAGCTGTAGATCCTCCCCCTGGTCTTAGCTTGGCTTGGGCTGGATTTGGGCCGTAGTAGATGGAAGCAGATTTGCTGTGTGACTTGGGCCCTGCTAAGGCTTTGAGTAGGTTCTTCTCTGGGCGTGGCCTGTCAGAGGGCATGTGAGAGGCTTGTCTGGATAGCTGAAGGACTTGGGATTTCCGTTCAAGCCATTCTGAGAAGTCGTACATATTGTATGTTCGGCTGCTGCCAGTGCGGATGATCCCCCGGGTAATACAGTACTCGATGAAGCTGTCTCTGTAGTTCAGGGGGAGTTTGGTAAGCAGTCTGTCCACATGTGAACCACAATGAAGCTCACTGGCTGCTACTTCATCCATGGTACTGAGAAGCCCGACCAGGCTGGACACGGACAGGGACAGGTCCTCAATAGCTTGAGAGTCTCCTGTTCTAATAGGGGGGCAGTTCAATATAGTGCTAAGCTCACTTTGGACTAACTGCCTTGGCTGTCCATACCTCTGCTCTAGCGCCCTCATTGCACTAGTATAGGGAGTGCGGTCGTGGATGTAGCGCTTGGCTACCTGTAGGGCGCTGGGATATTCTAGATGATCTAATAGGAGCTGAAACTTGTAATCTTCTCCCAGATGAGAATGTGGCCCTAAGGTGCTGTCCAGCCCTTTCTTTAATAAGGCGAAGTCACTCTCTCTGCCCGTCCTGAAGACCACCAGCCTAGGCTTTGGAATACCATATGAAGATGCCACCATCATTTCCATCAGGTTTGGTAGAGGCGCTCTGGCTGATTCAGATGTGGCAACCCGTGGATTATATTGTCCAGCAGAGGAAGATGATGAATGGTCACTTCCTGACGGGTCGGGAACGTGGTGGTTGCCAGCTGGATCAGGCAAAGCTTCAGGATGCAATATGTTGGATACAGGGTGCTGAGCGTCTGCCCACTGTGATGGCTGGGTCACAGGTTCTGGTGGACGCGGAAGTTGGTAGGTCGGATCAGCAGGACCCGGTGGTTGCTGCAAGTACACAGGATTAGCTGGAGGTCTAGCTTGGAAGACGGGAGCAGCTGGATGTAACGTCTGCTGCAGACTCACTGGATCCCCAGCCTGTGATAGCTGCTGTACTGCATGATAAGCACGTTGTCTTGGCTGATTAGCTGAGGCTGCGTGATGTGATATCTGCACCTGGCCTGGCCGGTTTATAAGGAGATGATGTTCCGATCTCTGGTACACGAAGGGTGTAGCGGTGCATCGTCCAAGTCTCCTGAGTGGCGTTGATGCAGCTACATAAGTGGCAGGGTGCAGCACTGGCTGAGTGTGAAAACTCACTTTACGAGGAGGTGATGGAGCAGATGCCTTCACTGGCATCAGCATGTTCGCAGGTGTTGTGGTGTCCTGCTCTGGTACAGGTAGTGGCTCTATGGTGCGATGTATCACCTCACTGCTAGGTTGTGAAGCTTGCTCCAAATGCTCCACCCGCTTCAGTAATGTTCCATGAGTGTCCTCCATAGACGCTTGAAGGTGATTCATGGTTTGGAGGACACTGTTCCATGCGGATTCCATCCTCTGCCATCTCCCTTCCTCTTCATTGTCAGAGCTACTGGAACTACTTGGAGCTCTAGATGGGTTGGGTGGCTCAGTTAGGTTGTGCTCATAGTCCACCAGATATCCCGGGAGTTTCCTCTCCCGTTTTGGACGGGGGCTACTCGATGCACCTCCATCCTGAGGGTTTTCCATCTCATGAACTCAGCCAAGGCAAATCCGGCTCGAAGGACCACTTGTACTGAATGTTTGCACTGATTGCCGATCACGCTTCAACTGAGTTGTCCTCGGTCAGAAGGATTTGCACTCCACAGTGATGTAGTCCAAGTAGTTTTATTAAAGAGGTAGCAGATGACATCAACAAGTGAGGCAATTGCATTCCCATCTATGAATGCAGGTAAAGGGAGTGTGAGTGTGCAGGAGTATGTGGGTGTGGTAATCTGTTAACAGAAAGAACAACCATTAGTATGAATAGCAATGTACCGCTTATACAGCACTGTGGGTTTCCAACATGAAGTTATATGATCTGCTATAAACCTCATGGCCACTAGATGCCACCCTAAGACCATACATGAATTTCTTGTTGGTATATGCATTAGCAAACAGTATCTCTACAGGTCAGATAATAAACACAGAAAATAGTTCTATCCACCTCCAACCACCATACTTGATAGTGAGTCGTATATGGAATGCCATATAAGCTGCAACCAAGGCTGCCTGAAGTAGGCCAACAAAACCTGCAACTTAGCAACAGGACTAGCTTCTTAGTGATGTACACAGAGCAACTCACAGATAAAGTCAAATAAGCATCAATCTCATCTTATAATACTCACATGATAAACACGCACACCAAGGGTAACTCACACAGGAACGCACGAGAAAAACGCTGATCATCCAACACCTTTCAGCTGTGCTGAACTGCGCTAAACACGTTCCCAATGGGAAGTACAGATACCGAGGTGCATCATGGGTAATGTAGTCTAAACGGTGTTCACAAACATTATTCCTCTGGAAAGCGGACTTTTAACAAGGATATTCAAAAGCCAAGTTATAAGCCCACAAATGTGTAACTGGACTACTTTAAAGTGACACCAGGCCCGGTGACCTTTGGGACATGGTTTGACCCCCTATAGGAATGTGCGATCATCATGAAACGTTCAGATCACTTACAACTCAATAGATTCTACCTTCTTGTAACGTTTCAGCCTGATTGGACCTTGTTTTCACACAAATGGACCCAGAATGATGTGAAATTGTGCTTCGTGCAACATAATTCTGGGTGCCATTTAATAACCATAAGTGCTAATGACTCCATTCCTTTTAGTGGTAATGGGGGCTGTGGATTGGAGTACTCTAAAACAAACCTGACCTCTCTAGGACATTCAGAAGCCAAGTTATAAGCCCACAAAGGTGTAACTGGACTACTTCTTTAAAGTGACACCAGGCCCGGTGACCTTTGGGACATGGTTTGACCCCCTATAGGAATGTGCGATCAATATGAAACGTTTAGATCACTTACAACTCAATAGATTCTACCTTCCTGTAACGTTTCAGCCTGATTGGACCTTGTTTTCACACAAATGGACCCAGAATGATGTGAAATTGTGCTTCGTGCAACATAATTCTGGGTGCCATTTAAAAACCATAAGTGCTAATGACTCCATTCCTTTTTTTGGTTGTAGGGGCTTTTGATTGGAGTATACTAAAACAAACCTGATCTCTCTAGGACATTCAGAAGCCAAGTTATAAGCCCACAAATGTGTAACTGGACTACTTCTTTAAATTGACACCAGATCCGGTGACCTTTGGGACATGGTTTGACCCCCTTAGGAAAGTGCTATCATCATGAAACGTTCAGATCACTTACAACTCAATAGATTCTACCTTCCTGTAACGTTTCAGCCTGATTGGACCTTGTTTTCACACAAATGGACCCAGAATGATGTGAAATTGTGCTTTGTGCAACATAATTCTGGGTGCCATTTACAAACCATAAGTGCTAATAACTCCATTCCTTTTTGTGGTTGTAGGGGCTGTTGATTGGAGTACACTAAAACAAACCTGACCTCTCTAGGACATTCAGAAGCCAAGTTATAAGCCCACAAAGGTGTAACTGGACTACTTCTTTAAAGTGACACCAGGCCCGGTGACCTTTGGGACATGGTTTGACCCCCTATAGGAATGTGCGATCATCATGAAACGTTCAGATCACTTACAACTCAATAGATTCTACCTTCCTGTAACGTTTCAGCCTGATTGGATCTTGTTTTCACACAAATGGACCCAGAATGATGTGAAATTGTTCTTCGTGCAACATAATTCTGGGTGCCATTTACAAACCATAAGTGCTAATGACTCCATTCCATTTTGTGGTTGTAGGGGCTGTTGATTGGAGTACACTAAAACAAACCTGACCTCTCTAGGACATTCAGAAGAAATGTTATAAGCCCACAAAGGTGTAACTGGACTACTTCTTTGAAGTGACACCAGGCCAGGTGACCTTTGGGACATGGTTTGACCCCCTATAGGAATGTGATATCATAATTAAACACAGGAAACATTTACAACTCAATAGATTCTACTTTTCTGTGACGTTTCAGCCTGATTGGACCTTGTTTTCACACAAATGGACCCAGAATGATGTGAAATTGTGCTTCGTGCAACATAATTCTGGGTGCCATTTAAAAACCATAAGTGCTAATGACTCCATTCCTTTTAGAGGTAATGGGGGCTGTGGATTGGAGTACATTAAAACAAACCTGATCTCTCTAGGACATTCAGAAGCCAAGTTATAAGCCCACAAATGTGTAACTGGACTACTTCTTTAAATTGACACCAGATCCGGTGACCTTTGGGACATGGTTTGACCCCCTTAGGAAAGTGCTATCATTAGGAAACGTTCAGATCACTTACAACTCAATAGATTCTACCTTCCTGTAACGTTTCAGCCTGATTGGACCTTGTTTTCACACAAATGAACCCAGAATGATGTGAAATTGTGCTTCGTGCAACATAATTCTGGGTGCCATTTAAAAACCATAAGTGCTAATGACTCCATTCCTTTTTGTGGTTGTAGGGGCTGTTGATTGGAGTATACTAAAACAAACCTGATCTCTCTAGGACATTCAGAAGCCAAGTTATAAGCCCACAAATGTGTAACTGGACTACTTCTTTAAGTTGACACCAGATCCGGTGACCTTTGGGACATGGTTTTACCCCCTATAGGAATGTGCGATCATCATGAAACGTTCAGATCACTTACAGCTCAATAGATTCTACCTTCTTGCAACGTTTCAGCCTGATTGGACCTTATTTTCACACAAATGAACCCAAAATGATGTGAAATTGTGCTTCGTGCAACATAATTCTGGGTGCCATTTAAAAACCATAAGTGCTAATGACTCCATTCCTTTTAGTGGTAATGGGGGCTGTGGATTGGAGTACTCTAAAAAAAACCTGACCTCTCTAGGACATTCAGAAGCCAAGTTATAAGCCCACAAAGGTGTAGCTGGACTACTTCTTTAAAGTGACACCAGGCCCGGTGACCTTTGGGACATGGTTTGACCCCCTATAGGAATGTGCGATCATCATGAAACGTTCAGATCACTTACAACTCAATAGATTCTACCTTCTTGTAATGTTTCAGCCTGATTGGACCTTGTTTTCACACAAATGGACCCAGAAAGATGTGAAATTGTGCTTCGTGCAACATAACTCTGGGTGCCATTTAAAAACCATAAGTGCTAATGACTCCATTCCTTTTTGTGGTTGTAGGGGCTGTTGGTTGGAGTACATTAAAACAAACCTGATCTCTCTAGGACATTCAGAAGCCAAGTTATAAGCCCACAAATGTGTAACTGGACTACTTATTTAAAGTTACACCAGGCCCGGTGACCTTTGGGACATGGTTTGACCCCCTATAGGAATGTGCGATCATCATGAAACGTTCAGATCACTTACAACTCAATAGATTCTACCTTCTTGTAACGTTTCAGCCTGATTGGACCTTGTTTTCACACAAATGGACCCAGAATGATGTGAAATTGTGCTTTGTGCAACATAATTCTGGGTGCCATTTACAAACCATAAGTGCTAATGACTCCATTCCTTTTTGTGGTTGTAGGGGCTGTTGATTGGAGTATACTAAAACAAACCTGATCTCTCTAGGACATTCAGAAGCCAAGTTATAAGCCCACAAATGTGTAACTGGACTACTTCTTTAAATTGACACCAGATCCGGTGACCTTTGGGACATGGTTTGACCCCCTTAGGAAAGTGCTATCATCATGAAACGTTCAGATCACTTACAACTCAATAGATTCTACCTTCCTGTAACGTTTCAGCCTGATTGGACCTTGTTTTCACACAAATGAACCCAGAATGATGTGAAATTGTGCTTCGTGCAACATAATTCTGGGTGACATTTAAAAACCATAAGTGCTAATGACTCCATTCCTTTTTGGGGTAAGGGGGCTGTTAATTGGAGTACTCTAAAACAAACCTGACCTCTCTAGGACATTCAGAAGCCAAGTTATAAGCCCACAAAGTTGTAACTGGACTACTTCTTTAAAGTGACACCAGGCCCGGTGACCTTTGGGACATGGTTTGACCCGCTATAGGAATGTGCGATCATCATGAAACGTTCAGATCACTTACAACTCAATAGATTCTACCTTCTTGTAACAATTCACCCTGCTTGGACCTTGTTTTCACACAAATGGACCCAGAATGATGTGAAATTGTGCTTTGTGCAACATAATTCTGGGTGCCATTTACAAACCATAAGTGCTAATGACTCCATTCCTTTTTGTGGTTGTAGGGGCTGTTGATTGGAGTACACTAAAACAAATCTGACCTCTCTGGGACATTCAGAAGCCAAGTTATAAGCCCACAAAGTTGTAACTGGACTACTTCTTTAAAGTGACACCAGGCCCGGTGACCTTTGGGACATGGTTTGACCCCCTATAGGAATGTGCGATCATCATGAAACGTTCAGATCACTTACAACTCAATAGATTCTACCTTCTTGTAACGTTTCAGCCTGATTGGACCTTGTTTTCACATAAAAATGGACCCAGAATGATGTGAAATTGTGCTTCGTGCAACATAATTCTGGGTGCCATTTACAAACCATAAGTGCTAATGACTCCATTCCTTTTAGTGGTTGTAGGGGCTGTTGATTGGAGTACTCTGAAACAAACCTGATCTCTCTAGGACATTCAGAAGCCAAGTTATAAGCCCACAAATGTGTAACTGGACTACTTCTTTAAATTGACACCAGATCCGGTGACCTTTGGGACATGGTTTGACCCCCTTAGGAAAGTGCTATTATCATGAAACGTTCAGGTCAATTACAACTCAATAGATTCTACTTTTCTGTAACGTTTCAGCCTGATTGGACCTTGTTTTCACACAAATGGACCCAGAATGATGTGAAATTGTGCTTCGTGCAACATAATTCTGGGTGCCATTTACAAACCATTAGTGCTAATAACTCCATTCCTTTTTGTGTTTGTAGGGGGTGTTGATTGGAGTTCACTAAAACAAACCTGACCTCTCTAGGACATTCAGAAGCCAAGTTATAAGCCCACGAAGGTGTAACTGGACTACTTCTTTAAATTGACACCAGATCCGGTGACCTTTGGGACATGGTTTGACCCCCTTAGGAATGTGCTATCATTAGGAAACGTTCAGATCACTTACAACTCAATAGATTCTACCTTTCTGTAACGTTTCAGCCTGATTGGACCTTGTTTTCACACAAATGAACCCAGAATGATGTGAAATTGTGCTTCGTGCAACATAATTCTGGGTGCCATTTAAAAACCATAAGTGCTAATGACTCCACTCCTTTTTGTGGTTGTAGGGGCTGTTGATTGGAGTATACTAAAACAAACCTGATCTCTCTAGGACATTCAGAAGCCAAGTTATAAGCCCACAAATGTGTAACTGGACTACTTCTTTAAGTTGACACCAGATCCGGTGACCTTTGGGACATTGTTTGACCCCATTAGGAAAATGCTATCATCATGAAACGTTCAGATCACTTACAACTCAATAGATTCTACCTTCCTGTAACGTTTCAGCCTGATTGGACCTTGTTTTCACACAAATGGACCCAGAATGATGTGAAATTGTGCT